ATAACCTTAAAAATCATTTAATTACATAATTGTCATTATAAATATTTGAAAGGTTATTTTGTAATTAAAAGTAATTGACTCTAATTACTTAATTGCCCCCTTCTTCTTCCCCTTTTTGTCTTATCCTCTCCTTCCTCTAGCTTCTTTTTTTTTTTTTTTATACCTTTGTTGAGTTCATCGCGAACTTAACGCCTAGTTTCAGCACAAACCCAAGGCTTGGGTTCTGCAAGAACCTAGCGTCGGGTTCACGACGAACCCAGCGTCGGGTTCACGACGAACCCAGCTTCTTTCATCTTTCTAGATCTTTAGATCTAACTCCCTCTTTTTCGTCTTCATCATCTCTATGTACACAGAATCATGCCTTTCCATTATTAACTCTCTAAAGCTAATTCAACCTCTCCAAGGCCTCCGAGGATTGTGTATTTTGTATTCCCATTTTGTTTTCATTGTCTCTGAACATGAATGGTGTCGATTTAGCTTTTGACTTTTGAATTTTGTTTGATGATTAGATCATTCTTAGGAATGATTTTGAGTATTGTAGCTAGAGATTCAGATTTCTTCTGTTGTGCATTTCACTTTTTATATTAGCTTTTAGCTTGCATTTACCGATTCTGAGTATGAAGGATTTCAATTTAGTTTTTTAATTTCGGTTATTGATTTGATCATTCAAAGAATTAGATCTTAACCTTTATATTATTTGTTTTCTGTGCATGTTTTCTATGAGATTTTTTTGCTTTTAATTGATGAAATTAGTGTTAGTCTTTGAATTTCAATTTAGTTTTTGAATTTCAATTTTTTTGCTCTGGAAAGATCAACCTATTGATACTAGTCAAGAGAAATGGATGGCTGGAGCTAGCCGCGACGAACCTAACACAAAGGCTCCAAAGGATAAGACAGAAGGGGAAGAAGATGAAGGCAAATAAGTAATTAAAGTCTATTAACTTTAATTACAAAATAATCTTTAAAATATTTATAATAGTAATTATATAATTAAATGACTTTTAAAGGTTATATTAGACAAAAAATCTGGCCATGTCATTAATTTTTACCAGCTAAATTTTCCACATAATTTAAGTTAAAAAAAAAGTTTTTCCGTTAATTAACCTACCACATCAGTCAAACTTTAACAGATAAACTAAAAATGGATCAGATTTCAAACTTTAATGACAAAAAAAGAGATTTTTTCAGTATTGAGACTGAAAAAGCTTTTTTCTATAGTAAAGGGACCAAAAAAATATTTAACTAAAAATAAATACTCATTCTCTTTTTATCCTCTAATTGAGAGCTCTTAATTTTAGAGTTGTAGTTTATTGTCAACTTTTGCGGCGGAGTGTCTTTCTTGATAAAACATCATTGGATTTTGCAGGTCATCAAAGACAGCAATTGTATGACCTCAAATCACAACCCCAACTTGGACAATTTCTGCTTCAACAATCAACACTTATACTTATATTTTGGTCTTAATGAAACTTTTAAGAGAACATGGTTCTGTGTCGTTGTGTCCATTAAAACGAAGAAAACTTACAAAAAGTTAAACAAAAGCGAATTCTTTTACTCATCCCAAATGAAAGAAAGAGGCATTTAAAGGCGATACAATCGGGGCCCATAAGGCCATACCTATGAAGATGGACCGAGTGGTTCACAATTCTTCGGTCCGTCCGCCCATCCATCCATCCATGAACCGAATCAAAACTCCCCTACTCACACACGAAAGGCATAATACCCTCCCCCCCCTGCAGCTGCTGCCCTTTTTGATCCAGTTATGGCAAAATAGGAGATGATGATGGATGGTAGGACCACACAGATTTGCCAACTTTTAAGATGATTTTGCTTCTCTTGTTTACTGCCCATCACTGTGCATGATTCTGACGAATCCACTTTTGTTTGTTAGACTTTCCAAAACCAGACTAGTTTTCCTACCAACTCATGTGCTCATTTCTGACCCCCCCCCTCTCTGTTTTTCCACTTCCTTCTCCTACTCCATCAACAAACATGGTCACCTAATTCTTCTACATTCGCTAATTTAGGCCACTGACTCTCCCCTCTTTTTTTCTCTTACTAACAGTTTTATTTTAAGGGTTTTTAAAAAAAATTATAATTCAAGTTAAGGATATAATAAATTTATTATTTTATAATTAATTTTTATAAAAATAATTATTGATTTGAATTTAATTAATTAATTAATTAAAATTATTTACGTAATAATAACATTAAAATAAAAATCAATTTTTATCATTTTTTATGTAAATTGTGCCCTAGACAAATTCTTATTTTAATTATAACAAATTATGCAAGCTAGTATTAGCCTTAATTGTTTTTTTAATATTTACTATTAATGTGTACTCAAGTAAGTTTTTATATATTTTAAAATTAATTATTTTTAAATAATTTAATATATTTTAAAAAATTAACTTTTTTTATGGAAAAAAATTAACCTTTTTAAATGTTACCTCAATAATTAAATCCAGAACTTATGACCTTTATTCATACTAAAATTAAGGGTAAAAACCTAGTTTTAACCGTTTACCTTATTAGATTTATAGGTTTTAACTCATCATCTTATATTATGGTATTTTTAATCTTTTACTTATTAAAATATAAAAAAAATAACCATCACTTATTCTCTCTCCGTTCCATTTTAATAGCCGTTTTAGTTGATTTTATGAGGATTAGGGAAATCAATTAATTACTCTTAATTCTATGGACAAATGCATTTAAAATACAATTTTACCCTTCTAATGCTCTACCATTTATCACGTGCTAATCCTCTTTTTGTTTTTTTGTTTTTAACTCCATCATAACGGACAAAACTCCAAACTAAACAAAAAAAATACATAAAATGTACCCCGAAAAAATACATAAAAAATATCTAATCATCAGTTTCGAGAAATCAACCTTTATATATGTGTATATATATATATATATATATTTTTTGCTTGCCTTGAAGAAATTGGGTTTTACCAAATCATAGTGATGGAGCCATCGGAGAGTAACAGTAGAGTGAGAACAAGATCGAGGAATTTGAAACCGTCAAGAAGATTATCTTGTTGTGGGACTCTACTGGTAGAAGAAACGTAGGGAGAAAGATGACCTTTGAATTGAAAGAAAGAGAGAAATTTTAGTTCATTGGCTTTAGGATTTTGTATTTATTAGGGGTAAGTAGTAAGGGTAAATTTGAAAGAAAAAAAATTAGTATTGTATAAAAATTTTAAAATGATAGATATTTAAAAATAAATTTTAATCTCTAAAATGACTATTAATATGGAACAAATGGAGTACCCTGCAACAAATCTTTATTAGATTATTGCTCCTTGAATAAAATACGAGGTGCTACTCGACCAAACTAACCCATTTTTCCAAAAATAAAATAATTGTTAAAATGAATGAAAGTATGTAATTTGTTTAAAGTGGATTTACGATTTTTCTCTCCTAAAGTGAGGCGGGGGAGGACTAAGGAGTAGCCACTTTAATGAGTAGGTAGTAGGTGTCCCTCGTCTTCTCCAAGCCGCTGCGCCTTTTTGGAGGAAATCACTATACAGTACCTAACAAATCATGGAGGAAGAAAAAACAGAAGAACAAGAACAAATATTCTTACGTGACGTCTTGCCAACCAAAGGAATGAAAGGATACACATGTTTTTCTCTTTTATCCTTTTATTTGATAGAAATGATTTTTTAATACGCATCTGTTAAAAAAAAAAACTACAATCTAAGTAATAAAATTATTAAATTACATTTAATAAAACTCCACTTTATATTTTTTCCTTAATAATATCTTGATATAATTATAAAATATTAGTGTTTGTCGATTAACATTCTAAAAAATTAAAAGAAAAA